TTCAATCAAATGATTCACTCGACGGGCGCTGTCCATAAAGCTAAGTATCTCATTAACGTCGTGTAGAGCTGGCAGTGATCAAGAAAAAGAACAATGAGGTATGAAGAGGTGGCATAATGAATTGCTCTCTTGCTCTGTGGTGGACTTGCTCTCCGAAATCTAACTTCCAAGTCATTGTGGTTAAGAAAGCGGCGATTAGGCACTGACGATAAAATGAAAAAGAAGTAGAGTATACTGTAGAGCATATTCGGTACACTCGTAGGCCGGGGTAACAGTTCTCTTACCACGAGTTGTTAAATCAGGTTAACAGAGGTGCATATGCCTTCATAAAGGCTTTTCTAGGAGAGGAACCTTCTAACTGCGAATTAACTTGACCTTCACAGAATATGGCACAATAGGTTAGTTTGATTTACACTTTGGAAGTGTAAGGGTTCATGACTCAACCGCGTCGTGAGGTTTTCTTGTAAACTGCTAATTACTTGAAGCAAGGGATGTACTCCATTGCGCTTCGATGTAACCAGTTGAGAAACGAGGTCCAGGTCGTTTACCTGCAAAGAACAGAGAGGCCGTGTGCTGTGATGTGTTCATGCCGGAGCATATGACACCTATGCTTTCTGATGCACGCATTTTACGGTTGCGACTAGCTTGACCCAGTTGATAGCGACTACATCGATATTCGGTTTACACAAGGCAATTTTTATGGATAGGCAGGATTCAGTTCTGCATAATAAGTTGACATATCGAAATTGATCCAAATTTCTCGCTATATATTCTTTTGTACAGACACACCCATAAGGATGACTTGCCAGAGCCATGGTTTGCAGACGTCTACCGGGCTTTGGAATCTGTATTAATCTGATATGATAGCCCTGAATTGGAATCTGAGAGCGATTTTGTGACGTGATAAAACAGTCAATTTATACTTGATGGCGGATGACAATCTACTGTCTAGCTAAAAGCTCGATTCCATTTGCTCCCTAGCTGGCACGATGAGGTTGTAATTTGCATGGTCATGCATCTTCCATAAACCAATTTCAGACTTTTTCGACGAGGCTTAGGCGGTGTAATAATGGTACCTTTTCAAAATTATGAATGTCTGAGGACAGATGAGAAACGATGCTCACATCAAAGTCGTTGAAAAACATTAATAACGGATTAAAATTCGGATCTAGCAGTATTTTGATGCACATACGTGCGTTTCTTCACCGCGGTCAAGTTTCCGTTCAGGAAATGAAT